TAGAAATACGAAATTTGAATATTTGAGGGAGAGGATACAAACAAGGATGCAATCTGGAGTTGTCTCACAAATTATATATCGAAATGCTGTTAATTTCGGTGTTAACCAGGTGAAATATGTTCCACTGAAAATCCGAGATGATGATGATGTGGAAATCATGTTTTACAACCATGAATTATCTGGGTTACATGCGATAGATTTATACATAAAATTTCAAACTTCTCAACAATCTCAAATCTCACAAGTGGTCAATCCCAATGATGCTGAGCCCGTGTCCATAATTCCCGAGGAAGTCGTTGTCGAAGATGACGAAGAAGAGGAGACTGAGTCACAAGCTGATGATTTGTTCACTACTTTATTTGAAGACGGTGGACGTGACGAGGTGGATGCAATCAACGAAACTGAACAACATATTCCACTTGAGAATGTCTATTGTCCACCCGCCCACATGACAACTCTGGATACAGCTGGAGACGAATCATCCTTTCAATGGCCCAAAAATCCTCGTCTTCCGCTGGAGGATGACATAGCTGTTGGGAACCAGTTCAAAAACAAATCTGACTGTGTCTTTGCGATATCCAGGTACCATATGAAACATGTCGTTGATTTCAGGGTTACGTGTTCTGACACAAAGAGATATAAAATTTGTTGTAAGCGAAGTGGTTACAACTTTCATTTAGTGGCATCTTATAGGAAAAGGAGCGACCTATGGGAGATAGGAATCATGGAGCCCCCACATAATTGTTCAACGACCATCTTTAATCAGGATCATCGACAACTAAGCTCTCGACTGATGAGTGAACGATTAATGCCTCTTGTTGAAAAGGATCCCTCCATCAAGGTGAGTGTATGTATTAACGAAATTGTTTCTTTTTTCAACTACACTCCATCTTACAAGAAGGCATGGATTGCTAGAAACAAAGCAATCGAACAAGTGTTTGGTAATTGGGAAAAGTCATACAATGAACTTCCAAATTACTTGTTGGCCCTTAAGAAGTTTGTTCCAGGCACTGTAGTAGAAATGCAAACACTACCGGTATATACAGATGACGGGACTATTATTGCTGGGAAACAAATCTTCCACCGACTATTTTGGGCTTTCCAACCATGCATACGTGGCTTTGCATATTGCAAGCCTTTACTACAGATTGATGGTACCTGGTTATATGGAAGGTACAAAGGTACACTACTAATGGCTGTAGCACAAGACGGAAACAGCAATATTTTCCCAGTTGCCTTTGCCTTAGTGGAAGGTGAGACGGCGGATGGTTGGGGTTTCTTTCTAAAAAACTTGAGAATGCATGTCGCTCCTCAACCTGGCTTGTGTTTGATTTCTGACCGACATGCATCTATCGAAAGCGCTTATAACAATCCTGAAAATGGTTGGAGTAACACTACATTTGTCCATGTGTATTGTATAAGGCATATTGCGCAAAATTTTATGAAGGATATCAAGGACCGTATCCTCCGGAAAAAAATAATCAACATGGGTAAGTACTTTTTATGCAAACATTACATGCTCGTTAATAGTTTACCATTATATTAACCAATATTTTTTTTAACATGTAGGGTATGCGCTGAACCAACCAACATTTAAATATTATCGTAATGAAGTTGGGATGGCTAATGGTGATGCTTTGAGGTGGATAGATAGAATTCCCGTTGAAAAATGGACGAGGGCGTTTGATGAGGGTCGTCGTTGGGGGCACATGACAACAAACCTTGTCGAGTCACTAAATTCCGTATTTAAAGGCACTCGTAATCTCCCCATCACATCGCTAGTAAGTGCAACATACTATAGGATGGGAACACTCTTTGCTGAAAGGGGTGCAAAGTGGAGTGCAGTTTTGAATTCTGGACAAACATTTACAGAACGGTGCGTGAAGGTGATGAAAGAAGAGACGTCTAAATCCGCCACACATCAAGTAAGCATTTTTGACTATAATAATAACACTTTCAGTGTGAAGGAGACAATTAACCACGGTGAGGGGAAGCCATTGGGGCGTTACAAGGTCAACCTAATGGAAGGATGGTGTGACTGCGGAAAGTTTCAAGCATACCGTGTTCCTTGTTCACATGTTATCGCTGCATGTTCTGTGGTACGCCAAGACACATTTCTTCTGTTGTCTGACGTTTACAAGGTTGCGAACTTATTTGGGGTTTACAGCACGAGCTTTCCAGTTCTACCATACGATGAGTATTGACCCACTTATGAGGGAGATCAAATTTGCCATAATCCAGTTATGCGGAGGAACAAGAAAGGTCGTCCCGTGAGCACCCGTATTACAACAGAAATGGACGCGTATGATAAGTTGGAGAGAAAATGCACATTGTGTCGTCTTCCAGGTCACAACCGAACGCGATGCCCCAATATAGGAACTAGTAATAATTAGTTATTTATTTTGTTATCAATCTGCAAAGTTGTATGTATAATGACACCGAGTTATTATGTTTCATTTCACTAATACTTCTGCATTTAATATAAATAACAATTCGAAAAAACAACACATAAATTAAAATACTGAGACGAATAGTAGAACTTAGCAACAACATTAAACGTAAACAACATCAACATGTTCAAACAAGGACATAACCATTTCTAGGATATTACAATCAGCAACACAATGTCTTTTTGTTGAAGCATCATCATAAGAACACATGCGTCGTTGTGAACAAGTCTCCAAGAACGAGTGGGTCCATTTAAGCCAGGCACCGTAACTAACCTCTCTATTTTCCGAATCTTTTCACCTTGGGCAATTTCTTCCCCTAACCATCCCTCCAAGTGCCTATGCAGATGCTCAAATGTCTGCGTGTTCAACAATTTGATCTTCATCGGAGGCTTTACTGGAGAAAAAATAAGTTCTGCGTCTCTTTTCATATATAGAAACATTGAAAACTCTCCGGATGTTGAAGACATTTTTAAGATACAACTAAAGAAAAAAATTTAAGTGTAGCTTGGATCATTCAACATCAACGATATTTATAGGTCACAACAAAAATATTAAATTAATAAAATAATAAAACCCTCCGCCCATTAACGTGACGGAGCCGTAAATAAATAATAAAATTACGAAAGCTTCCGCCCATCGCACTGGCGGAACCGTACTGAAATAATAAAATAATAAAATGAATAAAACCCTCTGTCCATTGCAGGGGCGGAGCCGCACTGCAATAATAAAATAACATGACCCTTTCTATGATTAATATTTTAACATTGATTTCTTACTTAATAATAATTTAATTTATTTTTAAAATTACATTAAAATAAATTTTATTTGTATAGTAATATTTTAATATTTTAATAATTTCATTAAAATGACTTAAAATTTGAATTTTTCAATTTCTTTTTATACAAATTTATTGATTTCTTACTTAATAATAAATTTAATTTATTTTTAAAATTACATTAAAATAAATTTTATTTGTATATTAATATTTTTATAATTTACTTAAAATGACTTAAATTTGAATTTTTCTATTTCATTTTATACAAATATATTGATTTCTTACTTAATAATAATTTTAATTTATTTTTAAAATTACATTAAAATAAATTTTTTTTGTATATTAAAATTTTAATATTTTAATAATTTTATTTAAATGACTTAAAATTGAATATATCAAATTCATTTTATACAAATATATTATTTTTTTATTTAACAGCAATTTTAATATATTTTTAAAATTATTTAAAAAAAAAAACGTTGATCACACAGCTCCGCCAATGCAATGGGCGGGGGCTGTGTATTTTTGAGAACATCCGCCCATCCATTGGGCGGAGCCTCCTAATTCCAATTTTTTTTTTTTGAAAAGATGGTATATTGGGAATTATGGTTGAAAGGTGTGGTATATTGGGATATAGTTGTTAAAAGGGGTGTATGTTGGTAAAAAATTCAAGAATTTTCGCTGTCATAGACAAGTCCTAAGCACCATATCATGATATAAACCTACTAAGGCTTCTGAGTCTTCCTTCCCTTTTAGGGAGAACAACCACACATGTACTTCTTGACCATTACATAGCTCTAGAGAGTATGCAAATAAACACATAATGGGTTTAGCATGGGAAAGATCCTGTAACTTTTTTTCTTTGTTTTAGTTTTGTACTCCTAATGCTTGCTGAGTGAGAGTGTGTGTTTTTGTTTTACATGACTAATACTTGCTTAAGTGTGTGTAAAAATGTTTATGCTTGATTAAAATGATGCATGCTTAGGTGTGTGTTTGAAATAATTAATGCATGATTAAATGTATATACATGATTATGTATGTGTATGAAATTGTGTATGATTGTTCTTTATATCCTTTGATATTGCAGCAGCTATCACAAGAACTGATATCTTTGATTTCTTGGTTGATATTGTGCCTCATAAGGACTTGAAAGATAGATTGATTGCATCAATACCAAGAAGACCAATGCCTATTGTAAGGCTTGTTGATGGAATTCCTAATAGCTATATGTCGTCTCATCATGCACAACAAGCTAGAGATGAAAGTCTCATAATACATCATAGTAAAATTTAATTCTGCATCTATTAAATTTCAGTCATTTTTTGTAATGGAATTTAATGTTGTTGTATCAAAAATATACAGATAAATGTCAAAACAAGTATTATGCACGCCATAACAGAGGCTACAAGACCAAATCTTAAATGAAAGAAATGGGACTTATGAATGTGATCCTAGAGTTAGATAAATTGAGCAACTTGAATCCGAACCTGAACCTATGTCCAACACTAGTGACAAATGAAGATGATAATGAAAAAACAGAAAAGGGAGACAAGGACAAGAGATCATAATTATAAGTTCCATACACATTTAAGTCTATATCCGTAGTCCTTAAGTACAGTCATTCATATATATACTCCTATATATTACAACCGATAAAATCAAAAATAAAAATATTCAAATATTTATTTGGTCATACTAATTAGTAGTTGCTCCTAAAACTTTATCTTTATTGTCTTTATTTATTTAAATAGTAGCATTGCAATAGTACTAGTAGTCTAGGAGAGTGGAGCTCTCTTAGGGGCACTCTTTCTCCTGCAGCTTCCATGAGAGAGGAAGAAATTACCATTGGCTTTATTATTCTCGAGTTCTTGTTCACATGATGAAACAGTATTATTCATAGAATGGCTTGTAGCTTCTTCAGTAGTAGGGGCAAAATGGGCATTATCTTCATCAATAACTTCAGAGCTATCAACCCTTAAACCCTCGAACTGGGAGTAATATGAAAAATCTGATTCATTGTATCGATGTAATATGCTCGATATCCTTTCACCCTTGCATACCATGAAATCAACCTGCATATTTTACATTATTGTTTTTTTGTTTACAACTTAATTTTCATGTTCTAAAAAAATAATAAATGATATATAGTCCCTCTATTCCAAAATAATTGTCGCATTTAGTAAAATTAGTTGTCTTAAAATAATTATTACCTTTAAATTTAATTATAAAAAAAATAGAGGAAGTAGTTTACAAAAATTCTAGGGCTCTCATGCTGGAATAATATGTGTATAACAAACCTAATAGTAAATGTATTTTAGGTTTAAAAAAATAAAAGAAAATATGTTTACTAAAGTAATAGGAGAGAATTATTGTTAGAAAAGTTGAGTGGTAATTTGTATGGGTGAAGTGTATATATGGAGAAAGAGAAAGTAAAGAGACATTAAAAAGAGACAAAAACCTTGCATGAGAGAGAACAGAAATGGAAGGGCTCCTGGAGAATCCTGTCACAAGAGCAGCAAACGTTGGCAGTATCTTTGCATGACCTTGACTGAACCCTCTCTTTTAAGAATATCACTTTAGCACCGTTAATCGTATATCCCTGCATTTGATCAATCTACATTTCTTACTAATTTTAATTCTAATCATTACTGTTTAACAGAAATTAGTCGGGTCTTACTTGAATATTGGAACAATCTATGAGCTTTTCAAGATCACTCAATCGAACCACGTCATGATAAACATACCTTCTCACCTGCAATGCATACACACACCTCAATTATTGTCTTACATTAATGCCAATCCATACTTTTACAAATCAGGTTAAACAAAACCACTTTCCATATCTATACATATCATCACAATATTATAATAAGAATCAATATTCAAACAAGGTACTCGGAACTCGGTTTATATTTTTTTTTTTTAAATTTGACTACTCTTCAGACTTATTTTTGACTTAATAAAAAAAATGTAATAATTGTCGTTTAAAATAATTATGAAGAATTTTATAAAATTGTTTTTAGTTATTGATATGAGAAACAGGAATTTTATAAAATTATGATGAATTATTTGTCTTTTGTCTATAATATTAGTAGTATTAATTAGCTGCATTTCATTCCATTTTTTCTCATTTCTTGAGATTTGGTGACTTCTGTTTAGATTGAATTTTTTTTGAGGACTGTTTAGATTGAATTTACCAATTCATGGATGGTGAATTATGTTCCTTTTACTTCTCTTTTCAATAAATAAATGGAAAGAAAAGATATGTTAATCCATAGGGTTGAAGCATTTTTTAAATGCTTAAAATAGTAAGATTTTTTAAGATTTTAAATGTTTAATTAAAATTATTTAGTATCTTTAAAGAGTGTCTTCAAAACACTGTTAATATGACCCTAATCCAAAAGGGTTTCCAAAGTTGAAGCAGCTTTTGATTTCTTGTTTTATTTGTCTCTTAACAGAATTGGGTCAAACCTTTCACTATCAATGAAAGGAACAGGTGAGAAAGCATGGCAGATAAAATAAGATAAAAAAGGGATCTTCCATTAATGGGAAACAAACCAAAACATAAAAGTGGAAAAATTATCATACAAGACATGTTCAGAAAACTCTTCTGAAAAAACACTATGCATATCTCGGAAACATGAATCAAAACTCATCACTTGTGACTTCAATAAACTAACCAAGTTCCTCAATTTAGTTGAATCAAAACATAATTCTAGAACTTTACTATAATTAAACCTAGAAAATAAAATTTGAACTTAATTAACAAGATTATAATAAAGACAAGTTCATGAAAAAAAATCATCATGAAAAAGTAACAAAAAGAAAAAGAAAAAAAAAGAAGTACCTGGAGGAGAGGGTGATGGCGGTGGGAAGGGAGACAGTGAGGACATATAGAGAGACAACAGTGTAAGCAAAGGACGTTCTTCTCGTTCTTCTTTCTATCTTGGTGGACCCCACAACCACCAAAGAATGTTTCACCCATTAATCTCTCTAACCATGCAGGTAGATGTTTCTCATGAATCCCTCCTTTCATGTCTCTTCTTCTTCTGATGTCTGTCTGGTTTTGTGAGAAACAAAATAGGATGTTTATGAACTCAGGTTTGGTTTTTTTGTCATCTCAATGGTTAGGTTAAGTTAGGAGGACCATTTTTCACTCTCATCATTCCTTATATAACATCTAAAATAACCTAACTCAGCAACCTATATTATTTTACTATATCTCTTTTTGGAACATCAGGTTTTCTTCTGTCAAAATATATTATACAATTTTTTATGTTTTCATCAATAAACTTCAATTTTCTAATATTAAATACTTAAAGTATATAAAATTATTCTATTATAAATTTTTTTATTTTTTGAATTGATTGAATAATTAATATTAAAAAAAAATAATTAGATATATTAATTATTCACATTTTTCAATCATCAACTTAATTAGTGTGAATATATATATATATATATATATATATATATATATATATATATATATATATATATATATATATATATATATATATATATATATATATATATATATATATATATATATATATATATATATATATATATGCATGCAATTATTAATAGTATATGGTTTTAACACAATAATATTTCTTTTTTTATGTAATGATTACTCTGTAGTATGTTTTTTATCTTGTGATAACTTGTAAGTAGGAGTAATAATCACTCTGCTGTGTGTCATTTTGAATGACCTTGAGAGATGAATGCAATTTTCAATAAGCAAAAGACGTGACTATTTGCTGTCAAACAAAAAAGACGTGACTCTTTATTTTATTTCTTTTAATAAAAAATAGTGTGCAGTTTATTTGAACGAACAAATTATACACTTTGCTTTTTCTCCAAAAGAAAATATTATATTTCAGTTTGGATCAATATAACTATAAAGTTAAAAAATAATTATAATTAAAGTCTTGCTAATGAATGTATTTGAAATATTTTTTTTAAATTATTTTATTAAATAAATCATGTTAAAGTATATAAACATTAAAAAATTAATTCTATTTTATTTTAGCATACTCTTAAATAATTATATTTTTAATTTATTATTCACATATTTATATTTTTTATCAAACAATAATTAAACGTTTTAATACTTATAAAAATATAAAAATAACTTATAATAAAACATGTAAGAAATAATTTTTAATATAATAAATATATAAGAAATTTATTAAATTTAAATATGTGAATAGTGGTTCAAGGATTTCTTAGCGTTTTCTTTATTACTAAATGATTTTGTTCACACAAAAAATAATATGATAATAAAGTATTAAACTAGTATTTAACATGAACACTTCCGTAATCTAAAGTTTAATTAAGTTTATATTTATCAGTCAATCATTTAATTATTCACATAATATTTTTATATTATTAATTTTTATTTTTGTGTAAGCAAAAATAATATACAAGAGAGAATTAATGGTTCTCCAACCTAATTATACAATAACGGAAATATCCGACAAAAAGAGAAATTACAAATCAATTAGAATTACGAAAGAAATAACAAAAATTCTTTACTAAATTCGTAAATACTATAATTGGAGTGAGTAATATCTCCACAAAAAGACTGTCTACAAACCAAAGTTTTAATATTTCACACCGTATTGTTAAAGTTTCATTCCTCATTCCGAAAACAAATCTCATTCAATGTCAACCAAATGATCCACGAAGTGGCAAACCAAATAACTTCTAATTTGTCCTCTTTAACCTTTTTTACACGACAAAACAAGTACCAATCTATAAAATTCAGAAGACACTCTTCCTCCTCCATATTCGATTTGCCCACCCAAGTAGCTATCTCCCTCCAAACTTTCTTAATCACATTGCACTTAGAAAAGGAATGGTCCCTATTTTCCAAATCTATACCACATAAAGCACACTTTATGTTATCTATAGAAAAGTTAATACCTCTATACACCAAAAGGTCCTTTTTAGGAAGTCTATTAACAAAAAGTATCCATCTGAAAGCCTTAATCTTGAATGGCACTTTCAATTTCCAATCAAGACTCAAAGCCACATCATACATATTAGGAGGTCCAAGAGGGAGACGCAAATTAGTGTAGTGCTCATAACATGAAGCAACCGAAAACCCGATCTCCGAGTTAAGGGATCACACCACCGAATCCGTGTCTTTATGCACGCCACCGAAATCCTCCAACCGAACCTGCAAAGACTTGAAAACGAGCAAGAGATCCAGATCTTGAACCACGACCGCAGATAAACCAATATCACCCACTTCCACCTTCCATCACACTACCCCCATGCCCTCCACTGAGATTCTCTTTAAACAAGAAAGCCAAAAATAAATCCGGAAAAACATCCTTCAAGATTATGTCCCTGTTGGCCGATAATAGGATATAAAGGATCAAAAGTCGAGACTATGTTATTTTTGAAAGAAGTGTCTTGCAAAAGCTTCGACTATTTGTTTCAGAGTGGACGGTCAAAGATCAGCTGAATAAAGATTAAAGGAAGCCTTTGTTTTAAAAGGAATTCGAAGTATTTGAAATTCGAATTCGAATGATCATATTTGATTTGGCGCTCTCTGCAATAGAAGGATTCAAAATTCAAATCTTTAATCTTATCCAGAAGACATGTGGAGGTTTAATAGTTCGAAGAATTTGCATGTCACGAATGTGACATCTAGATACAGAAAGATCGTTCAGGTCGAATTAGTATATATAGGGGTCTTAGCGATAGGATCCGTGTGTTCATTCGTTTGTACAAAATCTCACATAAACTCAAAGTATCTGCATGTTGAGAAAAGAGTCTTATGAGAAATGAACATGTAAACACCATCTTTTATTTAATTACAAGTTATCATTCCAAAATTTACTTTAGCAATTTACTTTCAATTGCTTTTATTACACTTTCTTTACAAGTTTTGTCAGTTTACTTTAGATAATTATTTAGATTAAAACCAACATTATCGAAAAACTATGAATACCATCAAAGTATTCGTCGTTTCAAAGAACAAAGTTTAAATAAGAACACATGTCCTAGGATCAATCTAGTCGAACATGTGAGTAACTAAGGAATTTTTGTTGTTTTTAGAAGACTGGCGCTTGTTTACCAATTCTCACGGTAAACAAATCGGCACACCTAGTGGGATCTGTGTTCAATTAAATATATTTATTCTTGTGAAAAGTTTTAGTTTTTGAAAATCTACATCATTTTCTTGTAATTTAGTTCGTTGCATGAGACTTCGAAGTGGTAAATTAGCCACAAATAACAAGGAAATACCTAAGAGAAAATACGTTAGGAAAATGGAAAACCAAAGTCAACCAAGTAATCATAATCCTCCTAACAATGATGAAGTACCACCCCCAGTTTCTTCGACAGGGGGAACTACAGTTTCTGAGCCTTTTGCAGAGGTTATACCGTCTTCAACAAGTTCGACACCAATACAGTTGAACGCTTATACTTGCCCTATTTGACTTATATAGGACCATAAGTCTACCAGGGACCCCCTCCAGGGGGAAATTCTTTCCATAGGCCTCAAGGGCCTCCTGGTTTTTCTATGCCTCAAAATGGTTGTGAGCGGCCTTATAGCATGCCATCACCGTTTATGGCAGGTTTACATAATTCCACTTCAACTTATTCTGATCTTGTAATGAACGTTACTTCACTATTACAAGGTACGGGGTCTGTTGTTAATAATATGGGTCAAATTATCCAACCCTACGGAGATGGATTTTTCTCCCAATTGTCAAACTTGAGAAATCATTTTGCAGCAGTAATTAGGCAGCAAGTGGACGAAAGTAACCATGAAATGGTCCAAATGCTGGCACAAACCATGAGTACAATTTTTAAACCTTTAATTCAAAACACCACTCAGGCGAACCAACAAATGGTAACACAAATGTCGTGCATCGCTGAATTCTTTGGTGTGCATAAACCCCCACCATGTCCTCAGAGGGAATGGTTAGAGAAAATCAAGGGGTAACCTTTGAAGAAGACCAAACAATTAACCAAGTCCAACAGAATCAAAGAAATACAACCCAGACGAATATGGTAAATCAGGGAAGGACAGTCGAAATACCTAGAGTCGAACCTATTAGGTAGGAACAACAAACCCCTAGGGAGGCGGAACCTAGAGTTATGATGGTGAATAGGAATCAAAATGCTGATGAAGTCATATATCAAGTTCGACAAGATAATTTGGCAGCAGACAAAAATCTGGCAACCATGGTCGAAAGGATTATGGCTTGAAATGGTATGAATGTTAGCCTTCATAGACCAAGTTACACTTCTCCATTGAGTGAGTACATTTTGCAAACAAATATACCTCTGAGGTGAAAAGTTCCCAAATTTACTAAATTCTCTGGGGACACTATTGAATGCACTATTTAACATGTGACTAGATACCTGATAGAGGCGGGTGAAATTGCCAGTAATGAAAATCTTAGGATTAAACACTTCCCAAGTTTGCTAACGAAAAATGCCTTCACATGGTTTACAACATTAACAACGAATTCGATCCATATTGGGCCCAATTAGAAAGGTTGTTCCTTGAACAATTTTACATGGGACAGACTAAGATTAGTTTGAAGGAATTGGAAACTTTTAAGCGCAAATTCACAGATCCCATAGATGATTATCTGAATCGATTATGTTTTCTCAAAGCTAGATGTTTTACTCAAGTGCCTGAGCATGAGTTGGTCGAAATGGCCGCAGGGGGCTAGATTATTCTATTATAAAGAAATTAGACACCCAACACTTGAGAGACATGGACCAGTTGGCTGATAGGGTTCGATAGATAGAACACTTGAAAATTGAAAAAGTTAGGGCAAGTAAGAATAACAGAAAAGGAAGAATAGCCTATGTTGAATTCGGCGAAGGTGATCAGCGGTCATATGAAGAGCCTTCAGATTTCAACGAAGGCAAAATAGATCTTGCTGAACTTAAGCAAGAACCCCCTTATTCTTGTAAAGGTTTAGCTCATTCAAATGGTAAAATCCCAATTGAACCTGATAAGGGAGACAAATTTCCTAAGAGAACTTATACTTTCGACGT